ATTTGCACTTGCTGTCGCTCGACGTCGACGTGCAGCACTCGTCGCCTTGTCGAGCAGATCTGCACTCTTCTCCTGCTTGTCAGTCAGGATAGTGTCGCGTCGAGATTCTTCCCAGCGCTTCTGGTCTTCAGAACGTACGCGAAGACGTTCACGAAGCTCAGCCAATGACATTTCTTCCAGCAGACCAAGCTGCGCTGTCTCCGTGGGGTCGAACACAGCGACGTGTTCGCGATGAACTTTGTCTAGAGCTCGAATCTGACGGATCAAGTCTTCGCGTGCTGCTCGCTCCTTGGCATCTTGCTGAGCTTTACGGTCTCTTTCAGTAGCCAGGAACTCCAGCAAGGCATCACGTTGTCGTGCGTTTTCTTCTCGAACCTGCGCCTCGGCTTCTCGCGGTGCAGTGTCACGTACGCGCTTGACGTCTTCAGTAAGATGTCGGTACTTTTCTACCAACTCGTTCTCTTCTTTTTCACGCTCGACAGCTCGCGTTTTCGCCTGTGTCTTCATCTCGATGGCCACCTCTCGATTCTCCAGTTTGGCTTGACGCGCAGCCTCCATGGCGTCAAATTGCGCTTGAACCATCTCGAGTCGACGAGTCTCCACCTCACGACGATAGTTCTCTTCGTCCTGCTGCTGCATATTGGCTTGCCAGCGGTAGAACTCGAGGGGATCACGCAGCTCCGACTCGTACGCGCGGATTACAGCTGCTTCATGCTCTTGCTTGCGTTTAAACAAGGCATCTTCACGCAAGATAGCGGCCGCTGTAAGCTTCACTTCGGCTGCGGATGTATTGGTATGAGGAACAGGTTTGGCCTTAAAGTCGAAGTGCAGAGCTGCGTCTCGCTCGCGCTCTATTTGTTCCCGTACTGCCTCGAGGTTGCTGCCGCGAGCTGCAGTTGCGAACTGAAATTCGTCGGCAGAGTCGTATTTACTCGCAACTTGAACCTTCATTCGCTCCTTTCGAGCCTCCTGTTGAGCCTGGAGCTCTGCTAGTGAGAGCTTATTTAAGGATGCAGGCACTGGGTTTGCCTTGACCTCGCGGGGAATACGGATAGGCTCAGCAGTTTTTCGAGGCTTCGGCTGAGTAATGTTAGGCGCCACAGGTACAGTTAACTTCTTGCTTGACGTCGAATATGCAGTGACATCAGGGGAAGCAGCTCTTCCGAAGGCTTTAGTATGGAGTTGGCTCAACAGCTTGTCGATCTCTGGCTTAAAACTCAGCATTTTGTCAATAATTTGTGTCTCAACGAAGTCGGTATCAAGCACACGAGTCCATTGGTCATGCAACGTTCCTTTAAGTTCCTCTGGATTAAAAAGATACGATAGAAACGTGTGCATACTTGTAGGTTGCAGTGCCAGAGCCAAACCTGCAAACGCAGTGGTACCTAGTTCTTCGAGACGAAACATGGCTAGATACCC